TTTTTCCTCTATGCAAGTATATAGGTCTATTATATACCGAAAAATAGTTTCGAATATTATAATATAGATGGTAACGAAAGCTTTAATGCAACTGTGTGGTCAATGGCTCCGAAATCTTTTGCAAGTGGCAAAAAAGTCATCGACATAGCAACAGATTTGGCTACTTGCTATAATATTATAATGACGGTTACAACAGTATAATGAGAATAATGGAAGTTTTAAACCTCGCTGTGGGCCCAACTTGTTATGATTTCTGTCAAGAAACGGATGTGCATCGCGTTATATTCGCCGAACGGAGTCTCACAGACAAAGCTAAAGATGCGAGAAAAGCTTCATTATCAGAATAAAAAAAGCTGATGAGGCAGCTGAGTATGTCGAAGAACAGCTTTATGGTGCAGGTATCGCTGATGAAAGATAAATTAACATACCTCAATGTAAATACATACGCAAAATATTAGTTACCAAAACTTTAAACACGTTTTTCTCAAAACACACTTTTTCAAATTTGCATGCAACGCTATTCTTACAATTTTTATCCGATTAACTTGGAATTTTAACATAATCTTGTTCTATATATCGTGCAATAAAGTACGTAGGATTTTTGCAAAATATTGAAAACTCTTTTTGCAATCATAATTTTTTATCACATTTTTGACAAAAAAATTAATTGTTCTAAACATAGCTGTCATTTTGTAAAAAATGGATATTTTTTAAAACGGCTATGTACTTTGTAATTTTAATCAATATAGAAAATAAAAATTGTTGGTTTTTTTGTTCTAGCGTAAGCCGTCTCGGAGAAATCGTGCACGCAAAATGACGTCTCCAAAAAAAGTCGATTGCGGATGTGTGTCAATACGCCGCCATTTGCAACAATTATATAGAATAAAAAATTTTTTTCTATACTTAAATATATGTGCGATAAAGTGCTTTTTGTGTTTTTTAAATAAAGCTATTCATTTGCCCAAAAAAATTCCCAAATTTAGGTATGATTTTAGGTCCTCAAGGGTGGCGTTCTCCTTTAAGGTTTTAAGAAAATATATTTTCTTATTTGTAAAATATTTTATTTTAGTATAAGTATATATATATATATATATATATATATATATATATATATATATGTTACTAGTATCTAACGCGCATATAATATAATATAATTATTTATTATATTCGTTAGATACTAGTAATATATTTACTTATACTAATATAAACTATTTTTATTATATTATATATTATTATAAATATAATTATTTATTATTAATATAATTATTTATTTATAATATAATTATTTACTATTTCTTATATATTTTTTTTTTATCAGAGAGTATACATTCAAAGTATCACTATTAATTTTAAACGAAATTAAGATAAACATATATACACAATATTACAAGAACGCGAAAACTATTATCTTTTTTATTTATCTGATGAGTGTTTTATTTATGCATCCATTTATTTAATAGAAATGTACAGATAATAAAAATAGATATCTCAGTATTTAAATATGTGTATTTTTCACGAGTATTACCATAAATTATATAAACTTTCCACCATTGTGTTTTCAAAATAAAATAGTTAACAATTCTTAAATTTATATATAAATTATGTATGTTAGTCTTTAATATTACAGTAGTTTTTCATCAAAATCTTACATGCAAAGATATTATAAAGATAGAAATTAAAAATAGCACTCTAGCCTTCTGAAGGAACACGTATAAAGAGTGTGAAGTGTAATTGTGTAAAAGTATAAATATCTCAGCTCTCGAATCTTTCTCTAATTGCACGAGCAGTTAAGTAATACTTGCACGAGCAGTTAAATAACACTTGACTGTATATGCAGTAGAAGTTTCAATTAGTTTTCAACGAAACTCGTTTTTGAGATACACAATTATCTTTAAAAACCTCTCCCGAGTTCAATCCGATCGAACGAGAGGAGACGACGTGAGCGAAACGAAAAGAAAAACGCCATTACTGAAGGCGAAGTGAGAGCAAGTGTCATTGTGCGTATTACGTTCTGATTTCTCGTGCAATCCCTCGTTCTCTCTTATTTACGCATTTCTCTCGGGCAGCCGGCGGCAGCCGGATCAATTTTAAGGGAGCAACATGTGTGCGACAAATTCATTTTACTCCGCGAACGCAGGACGTCCAACGGGAACAACGCATGCCGATAACCGGACGATATATACCTACATATACCTGCCTACATTCGTTTGCATTCGGTACAACGACTCGAAAACAAGCAGCACGCTCGCAACCTGCTTGTTGTACGCCGGGTTCGGAGTGCGTAACGTTTAATGTGTGTCGGTGACAGATTTTAAAAGCTCGAAGCTCAAAAGCTCAAAACGCGTTGATGCGTCGATAGCACGCTGTCCCTGTACGTACACCCCGTGTCACGAAACCGGGAGGAACATTTTGTTTCTCGCGCTTTCTCCCTCGCACTCCTTCTTTGACGCTTGCCAGGTATATCTGCTTTTCTCACTGTCTCTCTATTTTGTTTCGTTTTTTATTCCTTTTTTTTCCCCGGCGATACTCGGTCCCGCTGGGAGTGTGGGTGCGTATGTTTTTTTCTCTTTTTTTTTTATTTGCAATCCGACCCCACGAGTCGCTCCCGCCTCGTACAACAACGGCGGCAGCGTTGGCGAATGGGTCGCTCGCGCTCGTGCTCTATCTCTCTGTTTCTGGGCTTCGTCGTTCTCACATATCCAAGCTACGATAGGCATCGTCCTCGTCAACACTTTAAGAGGCACGCTTCCGAGCCCTGCATTTTTGTCCCGTTAAACAAACAATTTTATTACCTCGTCGAAGCCGGATCGAGTCGCGCTTGTCTTTTACACTCCCGTCCCGTGGTCGCTTTTTTTCGCCCGCGGAAACGCGCAGCCGTGAGCATCGATCGTGCGTTCGCTGCTTTAAAGTTATTCGGAAAATATATCGAACCTTTTAGCGCGCGGACACCTTGCTTCTTAGGCGAGATAAAAATCGGGTAGGGATGACACGGAAATTTTATTATCTCGCCACGCGAGAGCGTAGCCTTTGTTACTCCGAGAGATGATTTGTACTTTACTTATCTATCTATGTACACATACACGTATGTGCTTACATATTTTTTATTTCTACGTACAATCATTATTGAACTGATTCTGTTTGCTTGTAGTTGTAAATCTTGATACAATATAGAAAAATATAGAAAATTATAGAATAAATATAAATCGAATTATACATTCAATATAATATAGAAAAATATAGAAAATTATAGAATAAATATAAATCGAATTATACATTCAATATAATATAGAAAAATATAGAAAATTATAGAATAAATATAAATCGAATTATACATTCAATATAATATAGAAAAATATAGAAAATTATAGAATAAATATAAATCGAATTATACATTCATTTAATAATGCAGAATAACAAGAGATAGGAAAAGCTTTTAGTGTATTTAGTATCTTTTATATTATATTTGTACATTATTCTCATATATTATTTTTATATACTATTTTCTATATTATATTTTATGAATCTATGCAATTGAGCATCAACAATAAATTTGTCATTATAAAATCAATAGAGAATGAGTCTGCTCGTTCTAGTGTAATTTCAAAAACGATGATTAACTACTTATCAATTTTCGTGAAATTTAGGTATCCAAAAATAACTGAGTTTCAAGTGCAAGTAACTCAGTTGGCACATGTATAACTGTGAAATGTAGTAAAGATTGAACTTAATAAGTTAAATCGATCTTGAGATGAAAATGACACGATCTCTCTGTAATTTTAGCCTTATTATTCTTTTAATGTTATATTTTTTCAATGTCATATTATTTTTTAAATGTTAACTGAAATAAGAAACGGCTTTGTGTAATTTTACCTGACTTCATAGAAATGTAACACGACCTTATTCGTGACGTGTGCAGAGAGTAAGAACATTCTTGTTTCGAAAATATCTTTATTTTCGATATATAAATCTCAAAATGGTATTACATAGCGTTATAGAGGAAGATACATGCATCAATACATTTTCTATGATTTAACAAAGAAAAACATATTCTTATAATTCGAAAATAATTTTTATGGAGAGAACAAAATATTGATATTGATATTAGATATAATGTTTTTAAAAATGTTGGAAGCAGATATTATTATTATCAAAATAATTATATTACATTTCTTATGAGATTATTATAATATTCGAATAAAATGATAACATTGTTGAAATTCAAGATTTTAAAATTTTTCTAAAAAGTGATACAAGTGACTGAAAAAGAGAGAGAAAGATTTTCTAAAAAATTAAATATTTATTTATTTGATGGATGCTAAAATAATATTACATTTATAACATTAGGCTTTATTCCGAGATCGATTACTAATTAAGCTCTTCTCATTACGAGTTCGGATAATAATGTTTGCTACAACAGTTATAAGCCGCTACGATAATTTTGATTTTGTTCCTCTTCATGCATTGCTTGTTTAAAAATCGTAAACGTTTTTAATAACATTCGTAAAATAAAGAATCGTAAAGTACTTTTGTGGTTTAAAACCGTAATTACGTGTTCCTTCAAATGTCTACATAAAATCCTCACTCTTCCTCGTTACGCTCTTCACACGAAAGTGTGGTATCGAGAACGGGAGAGTTGAGAGAAAGCGCAATAGAACGAAAGGGGAAAGAGGAAAGGGGGTTGGGAACGACAAGGGGTGGAAGGGGATGTTGAGAGAGAGGAGACGCGCGAGGAAAAGAAATTTAAACTTTCAGAATTGGCGCTCGTGGACTCAGTAAGAAGATTTCTATGAGACAAAAGCGGTCCGATGGAAGGTGGAAGTGAAAGGATGAAGGTGCACGGTGGCGGGCTTCGGAAAATGAATTGGTATTCAGCGGGATCGGGCGACGCAATTACATTCCGATTGTCTCATCGTTTAAATAGTCGCCCATCGATTGTATTGAATCTTAATTGGCTGTAGAGTACTCCGAGCTTCTCGAAACTACAATTGTCTATCACTTACCGAGTTTTGTTTGCAGAAGGAAACCGGCCTGGTCGAGCGAAGATAATATTATTTTGCGGATTAAGACTGATCCGTTGAAACATCTCGTCCCGCGATTGGTGGAATTGAGCGTACCGTGAATACGACTATTCGGAAGGATATTCCTCTTGTTTAGTCCTGTACTGCGTAAAAAAAAATACTTGAAAATTCATTTGCAGAATATAAATTTTATTCACAGAAATAAACTTTATTTTATATCATAAGAAACTTTATATCTCACAAATAAATTTTCTCACAAGTACCTTTTCTCAGTGTGAGTAAATGTTTTGTGACATTTTATTATTTGCCACCAATTGTATGAAAAAGTTAACATTGTCAACAACGTCTTCGTAAATGAGCTTCGACACGCACTCGATACAGAGAAGATCGAGAATGATCGTTGCAATTTTAATTCGCCATTTGTTCTACGACATAATGTATTTGCGTTACGAATATATACACGCATGTGTGAACGTTGTAGTTTGATAAAATAAGTTCCTCTTGTTATTAGTTGTAGAATCATGCATATGCTGGATACATTTTTACTATTCGTCAATGTACATAACGTAACAGCTTGTCCCACGAGCAAGCTGTTACATCATATTTAATAGCTATTACATCATATATTGGGAGGAAACACGTTGTTACAATACCTATATGAAATTAGTATGTTATAATATATTAGTGTTGGAATATACAGCTATTTTAATGTGTGTGTGTACACTAAAAAAAAAATACTTAAAAATTTACTTGTAATATATAAAGTTTATTTCTGTGAAATAAAATTTATTTCAGTGAATAGACTTTATATCTCCTACAAACAAACTTTCAAGTATTTTTTTTTTTTTTTAGTGTAAGAGTTTTAGCAAACTCGTTTATTTACCGAATTTTTACTTTTGCACTTTACTCGAACGTAAACGGCAACTCTAGAAGTAACAAAACTCTAGAAGAAACAAAACCGACGTGTAAGATGGGGAATATGTAGAAGAAGTTAAATTACAATCGTGCTTCTCCGCAAGTAGTGGAGGAATATTTTCATCCTTTGACTTTTGAAAATGTTATATAAGAATAAAAGGAGAATGAGGGAAGCACGAGGATTATTGGAAACTAAAGCAGCAGTGGCGCCAGCCAGAGAAATCAGCTCTTAAAAACTGTCATTTAATCGAGAATTACTTTATCACGCGAAGAATGCTATCCTACTTTACGAATTGATAAGGAGAATACTAGAGAAGGCGCAATGTGCCCGGAGACGGCATGTGCGGAGTTTTTCAGTTAGCAGTAGGAAAGAAATCATTTGACGGAGAAAATGGAAATAAGAGACCAGATGTGTCCCGGACAAAAACTCGCCTCTGATTGTCACATCATTTTCTTTTTCGCCTTTCTCCCCTTTTTCTTCGGATTCAATACCTAACCGAACCATTTGCGGCCTTATACCGAACCTCACGGTATATGCAGATTTTCATCCACGATAATCAGTTGCGCTAAGGTTGTTATTGCATCCACAGTTGTCACGAACATTTGCTATGTATAAAGGCCCGGAATATAATTCAATTCGGTCTATATTAGAGATATCGCGACACTATTAAGTAGATTGTCGCTTTACACAATGGATTCAATTGCACACTGTCCCTTCTAACTTCATTTATTATAATGTAACTGTAATTAACCATTGCGTTTCAATAGAATTACAATACGTTTAAGGCGCCAGTTTCCTCCTTGCAATTATATTGAATCGTCGGAAACGAGAAATGGTGATGAGTTATTCTTTCTTTTTTTATATATAGTGTGTTCCAGGCTCTCTTCCGCAATTTTTGTAAGAATATAGAACGGATTGAGGTGAACATAAAAGTTCTATACTGTTTTGCAATATTAGCAATAAATCTCGAAATATTAATTAAAAAAGATTAGTGAATGATCACGCGCAATATAGTAGATGAGCTGTAGTGGCGCCATCTGCTGTTATACTTATACTTATGTTCCAAAAAAATCATTCAGCATTTATATGGTAGATAATATACACCATATTGAATAAAATAACCTTAGTAAACCGGTCGAAAACTCAACCGTTTCTGAGATATAAACATTTTTGTATGTATCATCATGAATGACTACTGGGTTTATATAAGTGTTCCACATGTTCCTCCTTCCATTTCCATACATGCTTGGCATCTTCTTTTTACAGAGTCGCAAACTCTCTCAAAAATTCCAGGTCTCTGTCGAATTATTTCACAAGCACGCTGGACTAGATCACATAATTCTTCTATGTCATTTATTGGCGAAGAATACACTATGCTTTTCAAATATCTCCATAAAAAAAAGCCCAAGGGATTTAAATCAGGGGATCGAGGGATGTATGGAAATGGAAGGGGGACATGTGGAATACCTTCTGTAAAGCCAGTAAGTCATTCATGATGATACATACAAAAATGTTTATACCTCAGAAACGGTTGAGTTTTCGACCGGTTTACTAAGGTTTTTCTATTCAGTATGGTGTATATTATCTACCATATAAATGCTGCCAAAAATATTTATGTCTCAGAAACGGTTGAGCTTTCGACCTATGTTCACTAAGGTTATTTTATGGTGTGTACTATCTACTATATAAATGCTGAATGGTATTTTTGGCAACACCCTGTATATTAAGTCAAAAAGTCCTTTATCATTTTGCAAATGACCACATAAATTTTTAGATATTATTTAAAGAAGATTTGCCAATATCACACACAATCATGTAACAACTTTCTTTCATTAATAACTAAAAATTTACTTGGTTATTTGTAAAATAATAAAGGACTTTTTGTTCAATTTAACCTAATGTACAAACACACAACAGTATACAATAGTTATCATATCGCGCGTTATTACTCACTAATCTTCTTTAATTAATATCTCGACTATTGCAAATATTGCAAAACAGCATGGAGTTTTTATGTTTATCTCATTCCGTTCTACGTTCTCACAAATTTTTGCGTAGTAGAGTTTGGGCACCCTATATATTAAAAGTAAATCAATTATTTTCGTATATCATCACGCACATTCGATAATACAAACTAGCAAAACGTAACGAGATCTCTAATTTTGTTTTAAGAATTAACAAATAGTTGTGAATCTCGTGATGAAAGAAGATAGGATAAATGTACATCGAATTATATATCCATTTAATAATGCAGAATAACAAAAAAGAGGAAAAGTTTCCAGTATATTTTTACCAATCTACGCTATTGAGCACCAACAATGAAACGCCAACAATGCAAAGAAATCAATTTAGCTCGACGTACAACGTGAGAGAAAAATTCACCCGAAATTTTTCGCTTCTGACGTAATGATTCAGTATGACCGCAATTAGGGGTCAAGAGTCTCGAACTTAAATTCGCCTTATTGATTTCTAGATCAACTCGAAGTCGCCTTATGTATCTCATTCGAAAGATCTGCGACTTTCGTATTATAGGTATTAGTGAAATCTCTCGCGCTTATTAGCGAAGTCTCTTCATGACCTTGTAACACTAACGAAGATATCACCGCGGCGAACCAGTTCTCGCGTAAGCGCGGAAGTTTCGCTTAACGACGAAAGTACCAAACTCGCAGTACGAGTCGATAGATACGGTTAATTATTCTCAAGGAAAATTCCTCGGACGATAACCGAGATGCCGATCTCGGCTCTCCGCTGTGGAATTGCGATGAGATAAATAATATAATGCCGATAAGAATATACCATGAATTAGGTGCAACCGGGAATTTCCAAGATGATTTAGAGAAATGAGAGCACGTTCTCTCTCTCTCTCTCTCTCTCTCTCTCTCTCTCTCTCTCTCTTTCTCTCTCTATTACTGTTAATAACGATGGAATAGTGCAATTTATCTCTTTTTCGTTCGATAGTGACTTACGTATTCATCAGAGCAGTGAACCTATCTATGACCCATTCCGCCTGACGTCCGCTTGATTCTTTTTATTTGTTCATTTTTACTTGTTCTCAAAAACAAGTCCGTGCGTAGTATACTAAAAATAGCTTCAATAATTACCCACACGAGTTGACACTATCATAAAGACACTGTCAACATTAAAGATGTATTAAATGCGTAAGACGTGTGTTAATTATTTAAGATAGTATCACAGATAAATTTCTTAAGAATATCTTCAAATTTTAACTGTATATTAATTGAAACGCTATCAATACGTATGTGCAATTAGAAAGAGATTGGTTGTGGTGAAGTAGAGATAATTAAAATCAAAGTTAACACTATTTATATGTATTAGAAATACGAAAACAGTTTGCGATATTATGTTTTCAATCCTAGCAAATAAATTATTTTTAAGGTTCTAACGAAAAATAAGAAGATGATAAAAGAAACTCGTAGAAATATTATGAAAAAATTAACGACATCTAGTTTTTAAGTAATTAATATTATAGCACACAATTTATGAAAACGATTGAAGTACAGTATGTTTGATAAAAGCGTGTACGGCAAAACTCAAAAACTTAGGATAATACATAAATTGAAAAAATTTGTACACATTATGCATGATATAGACTGCGATGCTTTATTATTAATAAGTTGTCCAGTCGCCTCCATTATCAATAATTGACTGGCATCTCCGAGGCATACTTTCTACTAATTTTACAGCATAATCTTCAGACAAAGATCTCCATATAAATCGAATCTGTCGAATTAACTGCTTGACGGTCCATATTTTCTTTCCTCGGAGCTTAAACTTTATAAGCGCCCAAACATTTTCAATTGGATTTGCATCTGGCGACTGTGAAGGCCAATCCAGTACGTCAACGTCATTTTCTTGTTTCCACGCAGTACAAAGTCTACTCCGATGTTTCGGATCATTGTCCTCTTGCAGTAGCCAATTTTCATTTTTCCTCGTAAACCACCTTTGGGCAGATGGTAATAAAGCTCTCTCATATATTTGGACCATTTTAGCAGCATCCAAATTTTGTGTAAAGATGTGTAAAGTGCCAAATCCCTGTTTTGAGAAACAGCCCCAGACGTGCACCTTTACCGGATGTTTAACGGTCCGCTCGATGAGTCTATTGGCCTGGGTAGACCAGACACGTCTGATAGAAGACTTTGCCCAAAACGAAGCTTCATCTGAAAAAATTACGTTGCCCCAATAGCGGTCCAAATTTTCTTTTGCCCAAGCAAGTCTTTTTTCGACGTGTTTTTCAGACAGCAACGGTTTCGTTATCGTGCTTCGAAATTTCCCTTTATGAGCCAATAAATGTCTTCTTATAGTATGACATGATATATTTAGACCCTTTTTAAGTAAAACCGCTTGCCCGCCACGCAATGATAAACAAGGATTCTTCTCAAACACCCGTAAAATCATTTTGTCCTCCTTTTTCGTCGTTTTCTGCACAGAGCCACGATCCGGCAAGTCATCAACGTTTTTGACCTCGGAATAACGTTTCACCCACTTACTCACAAACGCCTTAGACTTCTTCATATACTTAGCAGCCGCTCCGCGCGACATTTTTGGTTCTTTCGGATGCGAACATAGAAACACAGCTTCGTAACGTGATGCGTACGCGGCACTCATGTTGAAATACAAAAGTATTTTTGTGACGAAAGTCAAACGATAACTAAGGCTTTCTAGACAAAGCATCTTGGGAGAAGAGCCCCGCTATTGGCTCGCGTTCATATCCCCCCTCTAACGGTTTCGAGGAAAAAGTTTTGCCGTACACGCTCTTATCAAACATACTGTATATGACAGCTAAACCGACTTTATAATAATTTGTGCATTATATTTCTTTTGATGCCTCTTGATTAAGTATCTTCTTAAAAATAAGATAATTAAGTAATTTTAAAGATTTGTAATTAATATGCAAAAATACAAAAAATAAGGTAAAATATGGAAAAACAATGTCATGATTATTTTTGTAGTAGTGTATGTCTATCGGTACACGTATAATATATTTATAAATATATACTTACTACGAGCAGTCTTAAAAGTATTAATATATCAAAGGGCAAAACGATTATTTTTTTATGAAGTTTTAAACATTATATACATTTTGTTTGATATTTTCTTGCTGCAGTGCCAAAGTTATGTATATATTATAAATTATATTTATAAACATTTAGCACAGATTTGTAGAGTTTCTTCATGCTATATTAACTATTACTTAACATAATTTTAACTTAATATTACTTAATATAATTTTCTAGCATAATTTGATTTTTTACGTTTTCGCGGTGTCTAGCATAATATTGTCACGAAATAATTATCTTAAATGTCAAGATTACTCATCATTCAGAACCAACTTTATATAGCATTATTGAGACGCTTCGTTGTTTGTGTTATACGCGTAACAATATTTCGCGGGTAAAACAATTTCCTCTTTGATTGAGAAAGATATAAAATTTGATCTCCTTTAGGTCAATCCTAAATGAATCATGCACCGAAATCAAATTACGGGCAACGAGATGAAATGTCGATGAATAAATGATAAAGACGGAAAATAATTTTAAAGATATAATTGCAGCAAGATATAATTGTCAGGTTTAACTCCAATCTTCATGATAATAATACGTGTTGAAACTGCTAGTGGGATAACTGATATAAATCTATCGAAGAGTATGCGATAATATAATTCTAAAATGACTAGATCTGTACAATTAAAATATATATCATTTAAATAAAATTTACATATCTCTGTTTCTATATTATATGCTGTTATTATTATGTTATGAATAAAAAATAATATGCTGTTATTATCATGTTATGAATAAAAAATAATATATTATCCGGTCAAAAATGAAATTTTCTTTCTTTTAAGTAACAGTATATTTTCTATTAAATAACACGGTTTAATCTAATTAAACAAGTGACATGTGATATAAAATATGGGACACAATTTAAATACAAAATAACAGAAGTCAGATTCTACTTAGATTATTGTACAGAGAAAACGATTGCTTTGGAGATTCAGTATTCCTATTTGATTTGTTGGACATAGCAACATAATTTTATATCACGTTCTACTTATTTAATTATATCAAACCATGTTATTTGGTGGAGAAGTCACTACTATTTAAAGTATATAAAATTTTATTTTTAACCAAAGAATATATTATTTTAAATTATGTTTTGTTTAATTTAATCACACATCACACATACACACATAGACACATGTTATTGAATTGAATAATACAATTATTTTAAGCGTTTTATTTTTCATTTTAATCTGTTGTTTAACTAATAAAATGTTTGTTTAAAAATGCAAGAGCAATCATAATGTCACTGGTTTACTAATGTAGTACATATCTGTCGATATTTATTATATATCGACCGTTGTTGTTTTGCTTTCAACGATTACCTGTAAATATGACATAACAAAGCTTTCTGGACATTATAAGGACGCATTATAAATATAATGTTATAAGTATATTGTCAGAGCTAATTAGCATCACTAATTTATATAAATTATTGAAGTCGAGCAACCCAATAATGGTCAAGAGGTCAATAAAGAGGATGGATGACCGCATCATGGAATGATAGAGTATTTAGATAAACAATGACGGACAAAAAAGAGCCCACATGATGAAATAATAAAAAAACAGACTGTCAGTAATGCACAAAAAAAATGCTTTTTTTAAGATTTTAAAATTATTTAAACAGTATTATCGCACTTTTCTTCAAAACAAATGAGACAATTAAGTAAAGCAATTTTCCTCTCTCTCTTTAAATAAAAAAATAAAATATTTGAGCTGGGCAATAAAATTACTTGAAAAGCCAAATAATCGTATTTGTTGAATAAAAAATTTGTTTATTTGGGTTATTCCAGAATAATTGTTTAGTAATAAAATTTATTAAATCCATCTCTGTATAAATTTGACATAGATGTACATATTATTATGAGTTTATTTGTCAGTCCAAAGCAACACTGCTTATTCGCGCGATTAATACAAGAATTTGAAATGTAAAACGCTTCCTTTTTTTATTATATATACGCATCGCGATCAAATCCAATCATCTCTTTCCTATGAAAACAAAAATTACATTAGAATAGCATCGGTAAAATTTGAATTTAAATTACTTCTTGCATATACGCTTGTTTCATACGCGGACAAACAAATTTTTATGCGAGACATGGTACGTTTGATCAATTCATCGACTTCATCAGCGAGATTTACGAGGCCTGTAATTCCATTTAAATTTGTTACTCCTAAACGCATTTTACTTCTTAGTTTTTGCATGACATGGTAGAGGAATTCTGTCGAAAATACGATCAATGATTGTTTCATTGGACGGACAAAACAGGTTCGAAACAATTTTTACGCAAATTTACTAGATTTCTCACGGATATTATTCCTGCGCGTATTATTCCTGCATACCGTTCGCGGAATACCACACTTGGACATTTTCGAGCGACGCGAAACCCGAAAGAGTATGTCTAAACTCATCCCAGTAGTTTTACGCTCTATTTCGTATGAGCAAATTCACCGGCAATTTTTCACGGAAATTAAATGTCACGTGAAATGAGTGCACAGCACATCTCCGACTTGCTTCTTGATAAAGAATGGGTGATATTATTCTAATGGTACTGCAGCCGCATCCTACATGATTCTACCATCAACCGTACTCATCAGTCTTGTATGTCGTACGTTTCGTTCCGCGATGTTGCCCTTCGGTAAACGTGAACTGTATATTTCTATTAGTTCGTTTTTGCGCACGCCGAGGTTGTTACTCAATAAAAGAAACTTAATAGGTCTCGGGTCGTACATTTTCAGTAAACTTTTCTCGAGGGCAGGATATGTTTAGCGATCGTGCGAGCTGTGCAAGAGAGTGGCGAATGATAATATATTAAAATGTTATATTTAATATTTTCCGGTAATTCCGGCACTCTCTTTGATTTTATTTTAATCAGCATCTATTTAGTGAGCGCAGGATGTAAAATCAATTGCCATTTGTTGGCGCATTACGTTTATATGAATAAATTGAAATTTCCTGTATAGCACGTGACAGGAAAAGGCATAAAATTAATATCCGTTGTATACTCTTTTGCTGCATTACTGCGCGATACTGTAATACTGTACGGAGCGTGTATACAAAATATTCGGAATAGTGTGCGAGGTAGTAAGTTGGATAATACAGCTTATGATTTACATCACGTTCGTGTCATTTTATAGGATATTTATTTACGCAGTAACGCGAATGCTGGTGATATTTTGTGAGTGTTATATTTTCAATTTCCAACGTCGTCTTGAACCAGAATCGACACAGCGATATTAATCACGAATTTTAATCACGAATTTATCCGTAATGATCATGGATAATAAGCGAACAATCGCTCTTTGCGTGCAATAACATGCGGAAATATAACAGGATATGACTTCCCGGCACACACGAAGCAGGAATAAAAATTTATTTTCACGGAATCCGAAGTCGCAAAGAAACAAACCAGTGCTGTCATTAACGATATCTCGTCGAGACGAGAGAAACCTCTAACGACTCGACGATTCAGTCTCAAACGAAACTTGAATATTTGCGTTGCCACCCCGTGATAAACAGCAGGACGAATTATCCGTGCATCTCTCCGTGTCCAACGTGGTTTGTTTCTCCAAGATGGTAAGCACCCCGTCGCGCGCGGTTGACACGTGAAATAATTATAAAAAAAGACGAGCCCTCTCGTGTGCACAGGGAGGCAACGTGCGACGCGCCGAAAGAACGCCGAATGAGAAAGAGTGCGACGAGGTGCGAGGGGGAGGATAGAGGGTGAAGGAGAACAGACAGATAGGTAGCTAGGTAGACCAGACTAAGAAAAGTCGAAAATCTTAATTCGGGAGCGGTGCCGCCCCTGCAACACGATGGGCGGTGACTCGCAAGCGCCGATTGGCCTGATTCAGGAAAGGGTGAGAGGGTCTTCTGCGGGGGTGGCAGAGATCTGCGCCGTGACGCCGGGCGCCGGGACAGCGGCGTGTGCCGTCGACCGGTTCTACTGGTCTCCTCTATGAACGTCAGTCGACGCCGGGCGTCCTAAGCGCGCAGCTGCTGGAGCTTTGTCGTGTCGTTCGCAGCCGAGAGCACACGTAACCGACTTCGTGACGAACAGCTATCGGTGCCACACGCGTGTTATAAACGACAGAACGACGAGAGGACCTCGCAAGAAACCCGCCCGGAGCGAGAAGCTGACGTTTCGACAGTTTTACCGTTCGAAAACTGCTTGTCGAAAAGTTCTCGAGAAGTAGAGCCACATACGTACACACGTTCGCGCACACATACGCTTCTGATCTCACGTCGCTGTTGCTCAATCTTTCGCTCCTTGGAAGTACCATCTAGGATGCATCGGACGGACATAATTTTTTACAAAATTTTGACGTAGGCTGGGTGTCAGTGGTCAAGCCTCCCGATGAGAGATCTCGCCGGACGTTGCGCCGGGCAACGTGAGGGCAACTGTCTCGACGCCTGTTCATCTCGCTGGATATCCAAAGGACGGGACAAGTGTCTCGGAATAGTTGCCAGTGATCGGAGAGACTACGTTGGTGAACTGATAGGATGCGAATGTGGATCTTGCGCGGATGATACTCGTGCCGTGGGATTTGTTAATTGGGTACCGGTGATGCGGCTACATGCTGGAAGAAAGAAGGGGATGACTGTTGATTTTCTACCGAGGATGGTGGCGGCCTTTGTTTTCGCTTGCCTTCTATTGCAGAATAGTCGGCCGACATTTGCAGGATTTACTACCGGTAATGTTAAAATCCTCTTACTACTTAGATATTCCCCAGAGAAAAGAAACGCGTTACGGGTGAATGAAGCTGACGGCTGATATCCGTGATTGTTGATATGTCATCATTTGTGGCCATTTGCGGTCATTTCTATGTTTGGTACGGTAGTTGAAGATAGTTTGACTGAGAGGCGTTTGCAAAACACAGGTTCTAAAGACCTCGTGACATAAACACGCTTTTCCTTTAAAGATACGTAACCACTTGTTAACGGCGGATTATAATTGAACACCATGCTGTTCATTTTCAGTTTTTAGTATCACAAAGTATCATAAGTATCCGAGTTATTTCTTGCTCAAATATCACATCAAACACGGAAATTTAAGCGGCGTGTATATTTTTATCAGCTCTGTTTTGGCATTTAGAGATGAAACAAATCCACGAAGCCAATCTGGGTTGTTTTCGAGCAAATATCGTCGAAATTAATAAATATCCGGAAAAATGCTTTAAATAAAAACTACGTGATATTTAAAAGGATTCATAATCGCGCATTTAGGCAAAGAGAGAAAGGAGAGCTTTTTCGAAAATGTAATATTGTTCCATATTTCTGTTATTAATATCTTTTTCACATCATAAATTTTGTGTAAGGATAAAAAATTAAGAAGCACGTAAAACGTCTATGTATCATAATGTAAATGTCTTTTTCTCCATAATTAAAAATGCAATCAATATAAAGCTTATTTTCTAAGATTTTCAAAGGTAGGTATTTAATATCTTTTCTCGCTTGGGCGAAAAATATCACGTAGGAGACACGTTCTAAGAAGTTATATATAACGACCTTTTGAACCAGCATCGTAACTTTACTATCAACTCAACCTTTGATACTAACTCATAACCTTTGATACTTCGATGATACGAACTTTATTCGTCTCATTCGTCGTTAAAGATATTAAATAAAATAAGTGTGTACATATATTTTAAAAATATATCATATTATACACACACATACACACACACACACATATATATATATGTATGTATATATGTATGTATATACATATGCATGTATATTTGTATATATGTACTATGTATGTATGTGTGTATGTATAATGTATGTATATATAAGGTGTCCCAGTTCTCGTGGCTTCAATGTACACTTACAGATTCTTTGAACAATTTCAAATTAATTATTTCTTATTGAAAATATCGAAGGAAGTTATTATTCATAGCGATTTTTCAATTTTCAGTATAACATATCTTTCTAACGAAAGCTCAAAATACAATACTGTTAAAGTAAAGGTTACTTGAAATTGACAGAGAAAAACATTTTGTCATTCGAAATTTAATTTGCTAAAAGTTTCGTAGTTTCGATCGTTTATATCGTAACTATTGGTGCCTTGACGCTGAGGAAAACTTAACTCGAAATTGCTCACAGAACCTGTCGGTATAAATTGATGTCGCGAGAACTGGGATACCTTATATACATAATTTTTACCTAAAATATATAAATATCGTCATACACAATCGACGGTCGCAAATTAAATGTCAATGTAAGCAGTTACAACAATTTTTTCTCAAAAACATTATTTTTCCGATATTTGTAACACACAATAATGCAAAATGCCGCTACCAAGTACCGTGTGAAATAAACGCGGCATAGACGTGGCATTTTCAGTTTATTTCCCAGAGATGTGGTTTCGCAAGACAACATTGTTATATGCGGATAATTCTGGCATTAAACGCTTTTTAATCTCCATCCTTACGCAAATTTTGAAATTTGCGAATGTAATCACGGACGTTGGTTGAACGTACTTTAAAAAATATTATATTTTTGATAAAACTGAATGTGCATGGTTATAATGTTACATCGTTAAATAAATTTGAAATATTATGAAACTTCCGTTTTTACACATTCTTCGTACATATTTGACCATCTCGACGATTCGAATCAAACATATCGAGTTAGTTTCGAGAAATGATTACACTTTCTCATATTTTCGAATAAGTGAGCATAAAAGAAATAATGTCGAATAGACTGCTGGACCGTATGACATGCTTCAAATGCCTATAACGTATTCTTCATAAGTCAGAGTGATTGTTTATTACGCGAAATGCTTATCTTGACTGGTGTATATGTGCGTATGTGTGTGTACGCCCGCGTGAAATTCTGCTTCAGAAAAACAGAATATTTTACGTTCCATCAATTTTGCCAAAAATATTGCCAAATTACTGTTCTACAAAGAATTATAGTAAAATCTTATTTTTCCGGTATAAAAGTGTATTGCTTAAAATTTACAATCTATACACGTGTCCACGGGTGTATCGCAAATTGTCATTCTTGATTTAGCTTTCGATAGAGATGACTTCTTGGAGACATCGCTATGTAACTTAATTATCTTTGCAAATAGGTTATTATTAATTTATTTTGTAAAATATGATCGAAAACAATCGCAACGCTTTAATTCTACAAGTAATCGTATAGTTCCGATTCTCTATGTGTAATCAGCAGCTACACATATTGTAGAGCTCGTAACAATCTAAACATAAACTGTCTATCTCGTATATCCTGCTGATATCTTTTACGTTTGTTTGTATGTCTATCTCGTATATCCTGTTGATATCTCCTACGTTTGTTTGTACGTTCATTTAAATGTACACCGGTCCGATCAGCATGTGCAATCTCGGATTTAATTTTGGTCACATTAAATTTGCCATTGATAATGGCGCACAGTATTATAAATTTATATTTATAGTCTTGCTGCGTTAAACACTTATTACTTGCCCGCCCATATGAGAACAAATCCATTTTATTTCTGGGTAATTCGCGATTTTTTGCAAGTTCAGGGTGAACAATCAGTTTCATTGACTTTAAAACCCGTATTAATATAATCGTTACTTGAAACTTGTCCCAAGTGAAATATTCAGATTTGAATATAAAGTTAGATTTGAATTATTTTTATGTGAATCATATACACGGTGTCCGGTAACTCACAGAGGAACTACAGGGTAGATCAGGTCAAACTGGACAAAAATGTCTCCATTATTTTGAACATCCATCTAAAATTCTAAGTTATTAATCTAAGAAGATTCATTAATGATCACGTGCTATACGGTAAGTGAGCTGTGATGGCCACGTCTGCGCTGTATGCTTGTATATTAGATCAAACTGAACAAAAAAGTTCTCTATTATTTTGTAAATAACTACGTACATGTTTAGTTATCACGTAAAAGTTTAGTGCATAGTTTAGTGCGCGATAATGCTTCAATCTTTTTTAATTAATAACTAAACATCTACGTGATCATTTAGAAAATGTTAGAGGACTTTTTTGTTCAATTTGACTTAATATATAAGCACATAGCGACAAACATCGCCATTACAGCTCATTTACCGTATGGCACATGATTATTCATGAATCTTTTTGGACTAATAACTCAAAATTTTACATGCTTGTTCGCAAAATGATTAAGGAATTTTTTGCTCAGTTTGAACTAATTTATCTATACACCGTGTCTTTTCCGTGAGTTACCGGACACCCTGTATACAACATTATATATTTGCCACCGCGATTCAACTGAAAAACTCACATTTAACTTTAAATTTGAATCTGAGTATCTCACTTGAAGCAAGTTTTAAGTAACGACTATTAATATGAGTCTGAGATATAAGAATCAGACAAATATTGCATGAATCGCGTATAGTGTGATTCAACTCTTCGAACAATTCAAAGTAGAATACATGTCGAGAAACCGAAAGCTTTTTCACTGCTAAGCCTAATCTTAAAACAATCCTAAAGTAGCCCTAAAGTAGTCCTAAAGTAGTCTTACTCGTTCGTGACACGTACACGACGATCGCGGTTTTTAACACACTGTTCACGAACGATCGGCACAAAGATCGTAACGTATGTATGCGTGAACGACGTAATTTTGCACGGTACTGTGTAAAAATTACGCGTATATTTTATTGAATATTTTATTGAATATTTTATTGAATCTTGTATTTGGACATTTTGATCGATCAATTCACGATACCTACATTAAGAAAAAAAGTGGTTGAGTTAATGAGACTTTTTGCTTGAGCGAACAAAATTTGTTTAATTGAACGAATTATAGAGTAAAGGCACGAACAGTGACATACCACTTTGTTTTTGGAGGTTATGTCTTAATGTAAAACTCAAAATATAAATGTAAATATATATACATGTAGTTGGAAGTACTCCCTATCAGATAATATTATATTTTTACTGAAATTGTTTCTAGATTTAAAACAAAAAATGTTTTTGTAAAACACACGAAAATGGAATTCAAAGAAAATGGGTACCAAAAGCGACATAGCTATTGGAAGTTATATAATATCTTGCATATATAATATTTAATAATAAATGCATATATAATAATAAATGCATATATAATATTTAATAATAAATAGTTCATTAATATGTTTAATGTGTTGAATAATATTTATTTATTCAAAACATAATGTTACAAAAGGGAAATATAATTAAATAAAAACGTATCTTTAGCATTTCCATTTTTTTCATTTCTCACATATCTTTACATATATTATATTTTTAAACTAAACAAAATTAAACATATACAATACGACATGTCACGTCACAAGAGAGGTTAGAATCAGGTTATGTTAGTCACAGAGTATCGCATCTATCGTATACTGTAGGGGTATGTCATTTTAAGACACATTCTCATAAAATTTTTCAAGTTATATAGTAAAAAAGTGATGAAGATAAAAATATTCAAAAAATATTTTTATAAAAGTCAAATGCATGTAGAAGAACTTAATATTGAATAAAAAGATAATTTTCGCTGTTTAGTCTACGTATTGCGTCAATAAACACCTTAGAAATAAAACTTGCGAATTTCTAAAACTCGATATTTGCTAATTTAGCGTATAAAAGAACAAGAAATATACCAAGTATGAATTTTTTATAACTCACCTGATAAAACGAATTATGTTTATATTAATTTCGATAAAATACAACATTTAATATATGAGATATATAGGTATGTCATTTTAAGAGGTCTATGTCGCTTTTGGTTACTTTTCTCTATAGTTACTGTGATAAAAATTGATTCAATGATATCAATCAATTCAATGACTGCGACTTGATCAGTAAATATATCAACTTAACTTATTGTTGTACTAACGTGTAATTTAACAGATATAATATTTTTTTAAGTGGCTGCTGATTTTTTCGATTCAATTGCTTCTTTTTTCAATGTAAGAATTCGACTCTTTCGACAATTTGGAGAAAAGTCACAGTGAAGATATTTATTTGTTGCAAGCAAAATATATAATAATAAACCCTTTTTCATAATGCATCGTTCAATTTTATAGGACGTCACATTTTATGTTTGTACTACAGTAACCTGTAAATGTTTCAAATTTGAAGCCAGACAGATGAGGTATACATAAAATCATCGATAATTTAATTAATAACGTAAAGACAAGTGCATCTCATGGTGTTATGCAATATCATATTTCATATGACACGTTGCATAAAACCAGTACGCGTTGCATTCGCTGTCTTCCCGAGCAATTGGGGTGATCATCGTCGTTCTGAATGACACGTCTTTTCGTTCCCCCTCGTAAGCACTATCACGAAAAAGCTGCTCGAGGGGTTCTAATACCGAGCTTGCTGAAATTACGCTTCAATGGCGAAATTGCGCTAGGAATGAGCTACGTCCTGTGCGCGTGCTTCACATGCATAATTCATAAGCGAGGCGTCATGGTGAAACCTTGGGCGATAAATATTTTTTGAGGACGGAAGGATGTAAAAGTGCATGCAAATGAATCTGGCTGTAATGCAGTGGCTACTACTTACACAGCATTAAGCCCCTCGGCCGACACTTTCTTTTCCACACCTTTTACTTTTCCGCCATTTACTTCCACTTTATTATTTTGCGTATAACATAATTAAACGGCGAGTGAATAAAATTTTCGAAGGCCGCCGGGGTACGAAAGCAGATGCAAATTAAGGCTCCTCACTGTGCCGTACGGTGTCGTTTACATCGCACTATGTGCGATGCATTATGTGCCTCATCGTGACGTACGAAAGCGTTTTTCTATCCTCATTTTCCACTTTCTTTATGAAAATTTATATAGAGATCATATTATCGCGCACACGTGTATAATTAATGTTTCAAAACTTTTTAAAATTGCATAATTAATATTACATGCGGGAAAGAAAAGGGGAGAGTGATGCTGTATGAGAAAAAAAAAGTTTGGAAATATTGAATATAAATTTTCCTCGTTTTTGCATAGTTATTAGTAATAATTTTCTGTTATCAGATCGGTAATGATTTATTTTGAGAATCCAACATCTGATGAGATACGATTCTTAATTCTACGATCAATTTATGATGTTGAATAAAAATTTACTCACGCTAATATCTACATCAAGACGAATATTATTTCTATTGTAAAATATCGATAATATTATATATAATTAAAATAATGTCAATGTCAATGTAAAGTATATTGATGAAAGTAATAACAATCAAACTTCTGCATTGAGAAAAAAATATCTAAAAATTAACATATATTTATTAGATCGGTAACATATTTACTTAAATCAAAATTCTTTTCACCTTTTACTTCATTTAAACCGAGTATTGTTTACTCAGTTTAAATACCTCAATTAAGTTCAGTTAAGTTTACTCAATTTAAATGAAAAGGATTGTGATTTAAGTAAATATGTTAATGATACCCACATAATAAATATTTATTAATTTTTATATATTTTGTCAGAGGCGAAATCTGAAGAATGAAGAATCTGGTACGATAATCTGGTACACGTCAGATTTTCGGGCCGCCTACTACAGCACTTTGGTGGCTTAAGACAGAATTAGTGTGGACGTGCTTCGGATATTTCAAAGAAATTACACTCGACCATCATTTTGAATCTACTACTAAAACAATGTACATACATTAAGGCCCCTTTCAGGGCGGCCAGCCGGTGATTTCCAAATCCAATCGTCTTTACGAGCACCCACAGCGCAGATTGCCGGTCTTGAAATCGGGATGGAGAGAGGCCATTATCATCGTGGTGGCGGTCGCTAGTGGATGCGAATTTTATACGGTGGTCATTCAATTCGCGTGTTACTGCCCTTGAATGCAATCTCTTAGGTAGCGAGTCCTGCCGACTCTAAAGATAGATAGATCCCGGAGTGCACAATTGAGAATATGGAGGGTCCTCTCATTGTCTCGATATCTGATCGCAGTGAGCGACGAATAAAACCGCTTTAGTCGCTTACTGCCGATTGCCTCACCGTCGTTACGTTTAATACGTACTTCGTGTACGAGCTCCGATATCTGCTCCGCCGCCACCGCCGTTACCGTTGCCGCGCACGCGCTTATCTAATTTCAATGAATTATCGAAGAAATTTCGGGTAACGGATGTTGGCTCACAAATTGGCACGCGCGCGTTTGCCACGCATTTTCGGCCGCTATGTCTGTCGTTTATGTGCAACTCCTATATTCCTGGCTTGCGTTCGTATTCTCTCCTCTTTCTCTTTCTGCCTCCCTCCCTCTCTCTCTCTCTCTCTTCTTCTCCCTCTCCCTCTGCCTCTCCCTCTCCCTTCTCTTCCTCTCTTTCTGCTTTCTCACTTGTACCACAGGCTATGCTACTTTGCCAACTGTTCTTCGCGAAATTATCTCGTAGCCTAAGGGTTGCCATCTGTTTCGATGGGGGAAGCCACCCCTAATTACGTACGGCGACAGTTGTAAGGGCGTTCGATCTAATATCTAACGTCCGAGCGCGGTCTGCGCTTATACGTGTCGAAAATACGAACGATTTTCATGCGTCTCGGTGGCTCGTTTTATCGCGTAAAAAGCGGGCTTTTTTATTGTCCGTCGTAGCATGAATAATTGTACTCACGCGCCAGGCAAAGAGAAACAAATGCCCCTCCGTTTCCACCATTTCCGAATATCTCTTCTTTTATAAGAGCTATAAGTCGTATTAGTTTACCCACTGTGCGTGAGCATAGCCATACTACTGCAGTGAGCATACAAAGAATATCTGCACTCCTCACTTTTTCCGGGATGATCTTACACGGAAAGAGAAAAACGTTACGCTTTCCGCGCGCAAATACATTTTGCAAGGAGAATGAGATATACGAATACTCTAGATTTCGTGTACTACGATTGTTTATTAATGACGCGATTGCATTACACGTTCGAAGAAAATTTTCGATCAAATTCATATGAAATCAAAGAACAAAGTTTCATTATCCGTTTGCTCTCTCGAGATTTGTTCCACGAGAATGCTTAGATCTCGGGACATTCATAATTTGTACTATAAAAGCTAATGATGTGTCGACAACGTAGCCACATATAGCCGTGGATATTTGTTTAAAAACATTCTGAAACAAAACAGTGGAAGCGCAGAGAATCTGGCTAAAAGCGCATCGTGGCGCTCGACATGTAATTATTATTACACGAAGTACCTTTCATAAAGTTTTCCGATTGTTTGTTGTCAATCTGATTTTGTGATTTTATCGTTGCGAGATCGCACAGTACAATATGCACAAGGCACACGCGTACGTGCGTATGCGGCGAACGTGTGCCATCTGCTTTTAAGTGGGGTAAGTGGGTGGATGGGAGTCGCTTCTGTACGTGCACATGTACGTATACGTGTAGGTGGAAGGAGGGTTTCACGTACCGCGCACCCCCCTGGGATTCTCGCTTCATGCATTTTATATTTCGGCAGACTTTGATTCCTAGACGGGCCGCGTGGCTCACGGGAGTAATCCTTAATCTTTGATCGGAAATTATCTTTGATCATGGTTCAGTCATTGGGCGCTCTTTTTCCACCCTTCTTCTTATCTTTCTGTATCCCTTGGGTTGGGTACCTGTACGCTTATAGCTGATACAACTGCGCCTTCGTTCATCTCGAGAAAGAAAACTCATGTGAAACAAAGAAGAGAATGAACAAAAGATTCGAAATATAACTTGTTGGAATGAATACGACGTTTAAAACGTTACACATACCCGAGCGAGCTCGGAAAACACTCAGTGTTTGAATTTTTTTACTGACTACAATATTGACGATATATACAACATGATCCTTGCGAAGATAATCTTTGAATGAGTGATTCTTCATATTTTTATCTACTTATTATATAAAGCCTATTACAAAAAGTAAGAAATATAACGTTCTTATTACTGTTTCCATGAAGCTAATTGTCGTTAGTCAGCATTTTTCCTACAAAACTTCGACATTTACTTGAAACAAACAAGGATTAAACAAAACTTATCGTAGTCGGTTTTCAAAATATTGATTTTTTATAAAGAGTTATTAATATCCAAAATTGACAGATTGATTTTTCGCCAAAAGTAGTTTCTCTCTCTTTTGTTTGTAAAACGAAAACTATAATAGATATAAACAAAATCTTTCAATAAAGATTAAATAATCTTACTAAGAATATGTATGCACAAAAACTATGAATAAATTAGTTCAATAGTTCCTGAAGCATTTTGAGTATCGATTCAAAAAATATAGTTTTGAGGAAAACGAGTTTAAAGAGTTTCATGTTAGGTTTTCAAGTAAAATTGTTAAAAAAACTTATATTTCCAACTTATACAAAATCTCTTTCATCGATTCTGAAGTCCATGTAATGCATTATTTTTAGGTGATTCAACTTTTTTCCCTAGTTTTTTAATCTAAAATCTTGCTTCTTTAGTCATTTCTAATATCGCGCTCTGGGTCAAACTGATACGGTGGTGTCGGAAACCACGAATTAACGGACATTTATGCTCGTAACTTCCATTATTATTTTTAACGAAACCATGTTTTTTTTGTTGAAAATATATGTAGCTATTTATAAAAATATATACAGCCATTTCCACAATGCTGATTCAACAGTTGTGTCCATTAGTGCGATATTTTGAAATGACGTTTACAAAATGACGTTTTACTCAATCTTTTTCTATTGTTTTTATTTTATTATTTTGCACGATGATTTTTTAAATTCACGAACCACCGTTCTCCTATAAGCTACCCTTACTTTATATATGAAATCTTTGTAATTGGCTTAATAGCATTAAAAATATCATAACCATCGTATATCATAGGTAATAATCTATAATCATGGCTACTTGTGCTCTGCTTCACATTGGTGGAGTCTTTTTTCTTCTTAATACCTTTTCTGAATTGCCTATGCAAAAGTTTTTCTCTCAAACTGTTCCATCTCTCCATGTTCAACGCACTATTTTCACTACTAAATATTCGGCTTGACACTTCAAAGACGACTAACTTAAATATTCTGTTCTTGTAAATGTTAGAATGGAATTTTGATGGGTTCTATGGGTTTAGACGTTATCATGGAATTATGCAGAACTATTATTATGCGATACTATTATGCAGAAATAATCGTTTAATAAAATTTAAAGGAAGGTTAAAAGAAAGACTCGTGGAGAAGCTTCTGACAGGTGTTAAACAAAAGAGATTGTACACCGCCAACTACATTTGCGCGCCAACCAACCGTGACTAGTTTTGTTCAAAATAATTAACCGATATTTTGATATTCGAATTTTAACCTATAATTGGGTGAAAATATTCTTGAATGAACATACTTTTGAAAAATGTTACTTTTAAGAAATCGATTTTAAAACTCTGAGAGATGTATATAATCTTTTAATCTTTCTTTAATAGTAACAAGACTTAGATTTTAAAATATACCCTTGCATTCTCCGTCGAAACACAAGTTGTCCCTTAATAATTCGTGAAATTTCAAATCCAACCTGATTTATTATACAAGATGTTCGATTTACTGTAATTTTATCAAGCGACATATTTCAACTACTTTCAGGAAATGGCGTGGAAACAAGTAATGAAGATGTATAATTTATATAAAAAATAACTAACATATAATTAGTTGGCTCCGGTACGACCTTCAACGAAAGAAATTTGAGACAGGAAGTGAGAGAGAAAGAGAGAACGGGGAGAGGAACGACAGAACCAGAAAGAAAAAGGAAGATTGTAAAGGTGAGGAAAGGAGGGTATGTTTCTCAAGAAGAAATCCTCTCTTGAGCGATCTCGACTCGGCTTACCAAGTTGGCGAAATACTCGAAGCTCTCTCATCCTCTTGTTTTCTCTCCTCTCTTCCGTTCTTCTCACCACCTCAAGTCAACTTCGCACCTTCACCGTCTCTGCTTTCTAACTCGTCCTCCTCTGCTTTTTTTTCTCTCGTATTGCGTACGTGTGGAAAGAAAGCTTTCTCTCCCATGTCTCACCTCTCAGATATCTCGTACTGCAGGCTGCCAGTAATTTCCATCTTCCATAATCTCGTGATACACGCCACGTCCGTTTCCGTGAATTATTATTAATTATTTATCCTCTACCCCGTCTGTATTATGCATAATGTAATAAATTTCGCCGAGCAGCAGTTTTGCGGTTGTCCAAAAATGTAGAATATAGGATCGCTAATGTCTGAATTTCATACTTCTGCCGGTTACGTTTATCGCTCACAGCAATCGCATGTTCTCATATGGGATTACCTTCCTGACATCTTCGTTTTCACTCGCAGTCTGTCCGGTAATCAACAGCGACTATCTCCGTCAGCCTGAGGAGACTCCATCGCTTCATGCCCTTCCAATTTCTTCTCGACTTTTGCGATTGTCTCAAAAGAATACGTTAAGTCAATAGAAGTCGTGGTACATATACGTGGTGCATTAATATTTGAGATTGCCGCAACCGGCTTCCGTATCCGCTGGCAAGGTAAAGCTTCTGTGGCTACGCGGTTACAGAGTGATACCGTGCGACCGAGGAGTCCATAAGGGGATTACAAATCTAGTCTTCGATAGGTGAGTAGCGATTTATTGGCTTTGAAATGTTCCACGAAAAGACGTTATTAACTCGAAGATACGAAAATAATGAGAAATGTAAATCTTTGTTTCTTTCTATCGATTTCTTTTACAATATTGTGATGCTAAATTAAAGGGTGATAGATAAATTGGGACGATTTTGACCTGAAAAGTATTAGGACCTTAACTTAGTTTCCGCCCGCAAATGTTAGATGGCAATGCAAACAGTTCTAGTAGTCATTACTAACGAAACAGGTAGTTTGTGATTAATTTCGACATTTCTCGATAACATTCAGTCA